TGTGTACCGAAACTACCTGGGTCAATGCCATGAGAGACGCCGAATACTCCATCACCATGGCTCCCTTCAACCATTTTGCTTGAACCCGCAAAAATATGAGAAATACTCGATTGCATAGCAGATTCGGCCATAGTGTTTGTGTTGCCCGCCTCATCTTTAACGCCAATGTGGGTTTTCTCTCCAGTCTTCATTGATGCTCCAACTCAAGAGTCTCAAGCTTTGGGTCTCCAAGGATTTCAAAAGAAAAAAAAGGCACTCATGAATAAGTTGGAAGGATTGGGGTAGAATGAAAAAGAAAACTATATTTATAGTCTGGGGTTTTTAAAAGAGGAAAAAGTCCAAATTAAAAATTATGAGCCCTCTAAAAAATCCTAGCAAAAGTGGAAAAAGCTTGAAGTATACACCAAAACCAAAAATACATTATACAAATGAAAAGTCAATGCCTCTTTCTCTAAATTTCCTTAGACATAGGAGGCATTAGGGGGCAAATGATGGGTCAAGCCCAAGAAGAACCCAATTTATTTGGAAAACTCAAACCTCAATTGAAGGGCCCAGTCTTATGAAGACCCACTAAGCCCAATATTGTCCAAGTCCAGTCTCATCAGTTCGGCTACGTCATCAAGAGAGAGAGAGAGCACGGGACCCTTATCTGCACTGCCAAGAAAACAGTCCACCCTCACCTTATCTTTGACCGCATCTCATGGAGAGCATCTCAACCACCTCGCTCGTTGAGAAAAAGTCGTGAGTTCCACCGAAAAGATTGCTTAGTTGCTGTAAAATAGCCTCAACCTGTTGGCGGGCCACTATAAATTGCACGCCCCACCAATACTTGGGAGGCATCACACTTTACCTGAGCATGACTCTCTCCTCTCTCTCAAAGTTTATACTTTCTGCTCTCCACACCCTTGAGTTAATAAAATACTCGGCAATCAGAGTCATTGAAGAGTGAACGTAGGTTGAGCTAATTGAATCACTATAAATTGCTTGTGTCTCTCCATCTCTTGATATTATTTTTTTGTATTTATTATCCACACTTGACATGTGGTGTGCAAAATCATTTTGTGCATCATTAGAAGTAATAAGTGATATTGCCCATTGATAAAAAGATTGGGAATCTTGTGGATAAAAAGATTCTCAATTCACTAAAAACTTGAAAATTCATAATAAAATAATAGATGTGTGATTGTCATCATCCCTATTAAACAGAAACCAATCTAGTAGATCAAAGCCTTCATTGCCCATACAAGAAAGATGTCCATATCACAAACCCTAGGTCAAACTAAACGCCAAAATTAACAAAATTCGACGAATCAAACAAGATCTTCACTAAAATTAACGAAGTGGATGAGCTTTATCAATCAAATAAATGAGTATTATATAAATCCTAGAAAATTTACCGCACAGTTCTAAAAAATTTCCAATTATGCACTGAATAATAATAGGAACTTCGATAGATCCAAACATGAGTAAATTCAACTGAGATTAATTAAAGAAAACATATAAGATATCCAAAGGACGAAATCCAGTCAAAGCATAGCAAGAATACTCTATTTGACAAAATGGAACAAAAATAAACTAACCTAAGCAGTGAGAACAATGATGAAACCTTAATCTTCTTCTCGACGATTTTCAAATGAGCTCAGTCGTCTCAACAACTAGGGTGGTAGTGGCAATGGAGGTGTCTTCGAAGGAGTCTTCAAACTGGTGGAAATCATGACAACGAAGAAGTTGAGAGATCGAGATCGATTGATCAAGAGAGAGAGACGGTGTGAAGAAGTGACATGGTAGGGGGTGAATGTGAAACGATGTTGTGTTTGTTAAATTTGTTAAGTTATTTTTAAACACCGGTAATCCATAATTTTTTGCTCATTCAATGGGAAAAAAAAAATTGCAACTTAAAAAAGGGTATATTTACTACAACAAAAAAAATTTATCTCTAAAATTTTATATTATTAGTGACTAAATTTAAATTATTGTCAATAAATATTTAGAATTAGTGATGAATTAGATGAATTAGTAATATATTTTTACAGCAACATTTAAATTGTCACTAATTAGATTCACTAATATATCGTCAGTGACAATAATATTTTTTTACTACTAATTATATATCTTTAGTGGTGATAAATAATTATGGCCATTAAATAATTTTAATATCATAACTTCAGCGGCGATAATAATTTTTTGTTACTAAATATATTCATTCAGTGATAATATTTATAACTGTAATTTAAATCTAGAAACTAAAAGTGATTTTTCTTGTAATGTCAGAGGAAGGGAACTACGTGGTTGCATGGTGGTGATATGGAGGCGACCTCGAATAGTGAGACAAGGGAGTTGGTGGCGGAGGCGGCGTTGGTCTTGAAGAGCAACTGATCTCCGTGATGAGCAAACGCAACTGAATCAGATGTAATCGGAGAGATTGGTTATTTAACTTATTTTAGTCACAATCAAGATCAATGTACGAGGTCTACTAGGGAACCAAGTTGTGGAAATTTGGAAGACCTCAATTATTTGTTCTTCTATTGGTCTATTTATTTTTCTTTTGGTTCCCAAATTTGAAAATACTAAACTTCGTTACTACTTGAGAAAAGATGGCCATGTTTGGTCTCTCTCTCCCCCGTATGTAATGGCTTTCTACAGTGGTTTCTATGGGGCTTTGTACCCACCTACAATGTTTTAGATACGAGTGGTTTAGTAGTTGAGTTTATCTGTCAATAATTTAGAGATTTTAAGTTCAATATTTATTATTTATATTTATATTTATATTATTAATAAAAATATTTTAAGATGAAAAACTTTTGAATCTCTATTTTATCCTTATAAAAGATTGTAAAGATCACTCCATCATTTCACAATTAAATATTTAAATTATCATCATATCTTTATATATTTAATCTCTAAATTATCTATAATATCTCTTTTAATTATTTATTCTCTATGTATAAATATCAGTTTCTATAAAAAATATGATTGACTATATTACCCTTAAAAAATATGTATTATTATAATATTTTTTACTCATCTCATATACAAAGATAACATTATGCTTACATAAGTGTATTTTTTTTCATCGAAAAGCTTAACTCATTCATTTATAAGATAAAATTAATTAAATATACAATTTTTTTAAATCATTATAATTCTTCAACCACAATAAATTTTCTAAGTTGTATTAAGATTTTATGTAAAAATAGATATTGTAGTGTATTTTTAAGTAAAACTTGAATTTTTTAAAACTTTAATATGCTTGATAATATATATTATAGAGTAGTATATTAAATTTTATCTCATTTGACCTACCTATATTTTAATTACAATAAGGTTCCAATGTGAATGTGATTAGTATATTGACAATTAATTTTATTTTATTCAATCAATTATTAGTGGAATCTTAATCAAATGAATTTCAAGAAATTAATTTCCTCAAACATCACTAAAAATTCAATCTCAATCACAAAATTATTTTTAAAAAATTAATTATTTTTTTATTTTTTTAATAATTAGAACAAAGAATTATAGGAGCATTCAAAATTTTCATAATCTTATAATAGAATATGAGCAATTAAAAATTAAATTTGATAAATTTGAGATAATATTTAATTTAAATACACATATACCTAATATATTTTATTAATTTTTACGTACAAAAATTATTTACGTGCAACGCACGTGTTGCATTGTCAATATCTTTAAAGGTCAATTACCTTTATTTCTCAGAGAACATGTTCTAAATTCGGTCAAACTATATTGAACAGTATCCAAGCTCAAGAAAGTAACCGGCGCAAGTCTAGACACTATATAATAAAAAAAATTAATATATACATAATATATAATTGATAAATATAATATGTGCATATATTAAAGGATATATATAGGTAAATAATACATATTTTAACACATCTAATTAATTTTTTTATCTACTTTTTTTCTAAATTTTGGAGAAATTGATTTTGGTGGGTTAGAAAGAAAATTAATTTATCCAATTTTTTATCTTTTCTATTTTTCTTCCTTACTAAATATAATATTTTATATATCCCTCTAATTTTTTTTTCTTCCGTTTTTCCATCACACCAAATAAAATATAAAATACATGTTTTGAAAAACATATTGGGGGTATCTCACTCTGCACTCTAAAATTTTTAAGATTTCTCACTTTGTACCCTCAAATATTAGATTTTTTATAATTCACATTGTCAAAAACTACCTCGTTGAAGTTGATAAAATGAATAACAGAATAATCACATTACAATACTTTTAATATATTGAGAGTTTATTATAAAAAAATTTAATCTTTGAATTTGTAAAATAAGAAATCCAAAATCTTTCAAGGTGCTAACTATAATTCGCCTAATCATATTTTGATCATTGGGTAGCTTTACTTTAAACCACATTTTTTTATACAATTAATGAAATAATGAAAAAATATGTAAAAATTATAATAAAGATAAAATAACTAAGAAAACAGGTCGTAATAATATATCATCTATTTAAGGTTATTTATAATTTACATTATTAAAGTATGTATTGAATTTCTATTTGGTCTATAAAATTTTAATTACAATAATTAAAGCTTTAGAATTTTAATCAAATTTTAATTTAATCATTACGTCTAAATTTATTAATTTATTTCGACAGAAAGACATCACTTGACTTGTCCATTCATTGTGCACCGAAAAATGTCCCTCAAATCATTTTGTATTTTTTCCCCAACTTTGTTATTTTCTTTATATAAAAATTAAATGAAACACCATAATTTTTTCAAGTATGTGTGGAAATAATTTTTTATCATATAAATATACCTTTTTCTAAGGCATTGTCATAGAAAGCCATTCATCATAATAAATTAATAAATTTAAATATAAGAAAAAAAGTGAAAGTCATTTTAAACTAAAAACATTTGATTGTTGATTTCAAGTTGAAATAGGGCCGGTTAAAAAAAAAATTTTGAAATAGGGAAATAATTTTAGGGTATAAATTATAATTTGCCCAAAAATTGTATGGGAGGAGAATATTTTCTCAAAGGACGAGAAGAAGAATCAACCCACGCTTCAACAGTTATCCCAGATACCCTAATGTCAAATACGGAAGCTAACAATCTGTTAACAGGTCAACAAAAATCTCAGCAACAAGAAGAAGAAGATGATAGTTCTCGAGGTGGCGGATCGAAAGCAGCGTCGTTTGATCAGAAGGACATAGTGAAAGCATTGGAAGTTGTGGAGAGAGACTCGGTGGCGATCGCCGAGAGCTTCACATCTCTGTTCGCTTCCCTCCGTCTTACTCTCTCCGAGGTCTGTTTGCCTTTCCACATACTCAATTCATAGCAATTTGACTAATTTTCTGACTTTTCACAAGGTTTTTTCACCACAGTTTTATACCTGTTTTGTTAATTGTCAATGGGGATAATAGCACAATCGAAGTGTTAAACATTTGATTTTTAGGTTGGTCATTATACTACTATTATTTCCCAGAAAAAAAGTGGGATCTTTTGATTTCATATGATTGAGTTCATTTATCTATTATTACTGCGCCAATCTGATGAGAGAATATAATGTTGTAGGCCACGAGCAGTTCGATTGATCATATGGGTTGCTTCAGCGATGCTACTGGCCGCCTTCAAGAATGTGGTAAATGAACCATTCTTCTGAAGCATAATGTACTTTAATTTGCCATTTTCAGCAAGTTTGATGGTACTCACTAGAATTGAGTGTATCAATATAGGATAGGCATCCGACTGACATTTATCCACAATATTGGTTGTATTAACTGTGAAAATAACTTCTGAGGTGGTAGTCCACACTGCCTAACACCCCCCCCCCCCCCCCCCCCCCCCCCCACCCCAAAACCACAACAACAACAACACACACACAAAAGAAAGAGAAATGCTATTATCCTTGGTTTCAATTTTTTGGTTTGCTAGTGAAGCATTGAGGGGTGAACACATGGAGCAGAGAGGAGAAAGGAAATTTTGCTAATCTGTAGAATTTTTTTTTTTTTTGGTCATTGCTGTCTTTTTTTCTTTCTCGTTTTTTCAAAAGACTGTTTTGAACTGGACTGTGGATTTTGGAGCTGAAGTTGTATCCCTCTTTTTTGTTATCCTAATTTGCAGCTCTTGATGCAGCAACGAAAGGGAATCGATATATAAATTCTTCTCTCAGGTATTTTTTCTGTTTTTTACCTTGACTGCAGTGAGAAACATTGATGCTTGGTAGTTGGTATACAATTATGTGCACTTTATTAAGCAAGGATATGCTAGTTATTTAAACTTTCTATTTTAATACCAAGTCAAAAAATATTTAGGAATACATTAGGGTGCCCAAGGGCAGACTTTGTTTCATTGGTTGCTAGGGTTTGTTTCTTTTTTTTTTTACTCCGGGGTTGGGTGGTGGGGGTGGGGGTGGACGTGGACGTGGAGGGAAGATCGAAGGAACAGAAAGTGAGAGGAAAAGATGGGCGAAGGAGAAAGGGAGAGGGCAGAGGAGGATTTCTGCTATTTTTGAAATCCCTTCTTGGTAACCTTTTCTCTATAGTTGCACATACGCATTTTTCAGTTCCTTTAGTTTGGGAAGGACATAGGTTCGTCAAATTTTGTAGCTCTCACTGTTGCATATCATATTCAGGGGCTGGTGCATTCTCCTGGGTTGGGTCTCAGGGGTCTTGCTTCAAATTGAGCTTTGATTAAGGGTGGTGGAGGATTTCTGCTATCTTAAAATCCCTTCTTGGTGATCTTTTCTCCTATAGTTGCATGTAGGCATTTCTGGGTGCCTTTAGATTTGGAAGGACATAGGCTCGGCAAATTTTGTAGCTATCATTTTTGCATGTCTTGATTCAGATCCCGGATGGGGAGTTTAGGTATGCAATTGTGAGCTTTTCCTTAAAAGTAAAAATGGTTTTGGCTACTTTTTATCGCCATAGAGTTTCCTTATTTCTTTATATGTTTTCTCCAATTTCTTTGGGCGAGCATGCTAGAGTTTTGCTTACTCTTATTTGTGAAATTTCATTTGTTGCAGATTAAATGAGGAAATGAAGGGTGCTGACAGCCTAGCCACACAACTGTATCCTCTTCCTTTCTTTTCCCTGTGGATAGAAAATTTAGTTTTTTGGGTTGTGCATAACTGGGTATGCATTTGTTTGTGAGTTAAAATGTGGGAGACTACCTATTTGCCTAACCAATGGGTTAGTTTTCCATTCCATTGCTTTAAAATATTTTTTTTCAGCCCGTGCTATACATTTTAAGATATTTTGCTGATGTGTTGGTGACCCAAATTCCACTCTCTACATGCTGGAATCTGGGCAGATAGATAGCCTGTGGAGCATCATTTTAGACTGCTTAGAAACTTTTTTTTTTTTGAAAAAATATGGATATTGTCACTTGAAATATGTTGAAGGCTAGTTATTTCTTGAAACAAATATATATATATATATATATATATATATATATATATATATTGTATATGTATATATATATTTTATTTATTTTTATTTTTTTTCTGACTCTGAATTTTGCTTACACCTTGACTGCTTGCAAAGAAAGACCTTGAGGAGGAATGTAGATGCTTTGGACTTGGTTGTAAATAGGCTCCTCCGACTTCCATGATGCTGATCTGCTTTCCATGTTATTGGATTCCTTGTGGAGACTGCTATGCCTTAATGTTCTTTATCCTGGTTCAACTAGGTATTTTGAAGGGTGGTTGGGGGCGAATTTATGATTCCTTTTCAAGTATGTTAATTCATATAGTCGCTAACTGGCTGACTGGAAATCAAGGACGTGTTTTCCCCTTTTCATTTGTAGGTGCGGATGTTAAGAGCATTTATGTATCGTCATTTTTATTTTATGCTTTTGCCTTTTCTATTGCTGCATCAATTGTTTTCATAACTTCACCATTGTACCTCTTACTAGTTTCATAATAAACAAAGAAGTTGTCTCTTGATTTCTCGGTTGCACAAGCAGCTGTGTAGGCAATACTCCTAAAGTTATCATTAGACTACTAATTTTACTGGCACAAATATTCTTCTTCTCTTTCCAGTCAAAAAAGTAGACCATCCATGCCAATGGTGTGACGACCGATGTACTACGTACATCTGTCTCATGGCCATGCAGCAGACAGACGTGGTCAAGGTTAGATTATGGGGGATACATGAAGGTTTGCTTCGGTATTTGTAGAATCATTTTGCCATATGGAAAAGGATGTGTGTTGAACAGGTGCAAAGAAGTGGAGGATAGAAGGAAGCAAAACCACAGATTTCAGAGCATTTTTTTTTTTTTCAAAATGAGCCTAGGCTTGCTTGTTTCCATATCCTTTTGAACCTGCTCTCATTGCACTGGGACCATAACAGTGACCATGCTACTATAGTAGTTGTTTTGCAGCATTGTGGATGGATGACAAGGGGATATATTCTTGCTCTTGATCCAGCATGCAAACCATTTGTTCAGAAGCCTGCCCAAAGATGCAAGTACGTAGCCACCTAAATCCTAATGCAGCAACCATCAACTTTCTTCCCACGAACATAAAACAAGTTTGGACAGTAAGTGCTTTCCATGTAATATCTTGAAGCTTGATTCAAGGACCATACACTAGTTGTGGTCCTTTTTGAGCCATTTTCAGTAAGTATAGAATGTGTGTTTGAGAGGTGAAACCAAAATTCCTCACATCTATACAGTTTTACTTTCATGTGGTTATTAAGCAAGTCCGATTCACGGGAGTAGCGTGGTTTACTACTTGGTTTTGGTGACTCTTTTTTGATTAGTAGCTATGGTTCAAATTTGACATTTCATAGTGGGAATACCTTCATGGTCACACCTTGGAATTATTACGTACTGGTCAACCTCTTACCCCACCCCCTTTTAATAACCAAAAAAAAATACAGTTTTATTTCCAAGGATCTTCGATAAATTTCCTACCATCCCCACTTCTACTGCTCCTCTACAACCTTTCGTAAAGCATCCCATGAAAATTTCCAGGATTTAGATTGATTTCTTAACAAGTAGAGGTGGTCACCCCTCTGCGTTGATTATTACGTGTCCTGTCTTCCAAAAACAGAAGAAAGGACAGGAACCCACCCCCACCACCACCAAAAAAAAAAAAAAGAAGCATTTTGAGTTACTTGATGATCATTTTATCATTTATATCTCTTTCACCCACAGAATCACAGCCTTATGAGGTGACTACATCATTATTTTCAATTTGATAAGAGTACCACTTGTACAAATACATCCAAATGGATAGACAAATTAGTCATGGCATCCATTCATAATCCTGAGTTCAACTCGACTATACCGTGGTTGACCCACCTGGGTGCTAATGCACATGGCATTGGTACCTTGACATGAGACCAAGGATTCATCAACCATCGACTCAAACGTCGACCAGCCCACATTTTAGTGGGTATCCGAGGATATTTTAGTATATTTTAATGGTACCTTGACAATGTTGTTTATTTTAGTTTCTAATACTAATTTATATTTTAATTTTTAGAAAATTTAATGTTGTATATCCATCAGGCTCACCAAATGCTCCCGCAGGTCACCACGAAATATGGCAGACGACTTAACCTCTAAATAAAACAAATAAATGTTCTACACAATTCCTAGCGAATTTTTATGATTTTATTCAAATCAATATTGCATTGGACATGATGATAAGTGTATACATCGCTTCAAACTAATGTTACCTGGAATGCAAATTGCTCCAACATGTGGAGTAGCAATGGGGCAATAGGAATGATGATCACCACTAAAAAGTGAAAAGATGATACGAACACAGGAGAGTGAACCACTTGGTGAGGATTACTTTGGGGAAGTTTTGTTGTCCATATTTTAGAGAAGTAGAGGAGGTACTGGTTATACAAAATGACGCCATACCCTTCTGGTGGCAATGAGAACCACGTCCTGCCAAACAACAACTGTTTGAAACGATGTTCTGAAGCCTCACAAGGAAAAAAAAAGATAATAATGGGTCTTTGGTCCAATGGTATTCCTTGTCTTAAGAAGACTTTGTCTTCTTGAGATCAAGGGTTCAAACCCCTTTTCCCCCTCCCCTCCTTCTCCCCAATAAAAAAAAAGGAAAAAAGATAACAAAACTAAATAATCAAAGGAAAAGCTTATACAAGATTTAGGTCATCTTAATTCATCTTTTGTAGTAATCAGTAGTAGAGAAAGAAAATGGAACATTGTGTTTTGTTTCTGAATTACATGTAGGTGTCTGCAAATGACCATCCTTTGTGAATTTGCATTACAACGAAATTTGAAGACATGTTCTTAATCAGTTAAGAAACTCAAGAGGCCTATAAACTTATAAAAATAAATTTAAGGCGCACTTTAATTTCCAAAAATAATTTAAGGGGCACTAACATCTGGGTTGCTATATTTAAAATTAATAAGTAATTCAGGTAAACTTTGTAAATAATTTACTATCACTTAATGAGAAGGCCAAAAAGACTCTCAAAGTTCAAGGTTCCAATTGAATTTACATTAAAAATTAGGGTTAAAATAGAAAAATAAAAGTTTTACATGTTAAATGACATTTTATAATTGTATAGATAGATAGATAGATATAGATATAAATAGATTACATATAATTTAATAATGCTATTAACTCCAAAAAGATATAATAGACAATAATTATTTTCTTGAGATTATTTTAATCAAATAAAAGTTTTTAAGATGTTTTTAGGAGTTGTATAGATAAACACACACTAATATGGTAGAGCATTGTGACCCATTTGCCATTATGTGCTTGTACTTATATGGACTAATCATCATCTCTCCTCGGATATTACAGGTGTTTTGTTTAATAAAAAAAATCATTCTTTGTTCACAATACCATAGACCATTGCTAGTGGGTTGCAACTAAAAATTAAACTAATGTTGAATGACTGTGGTATCACATGATGCTAATTAATTCATTCTTACATTACTTATATATAAAACAGAGCGGCTTTAACAAGTTGATTCTACGGTCTCAAATTTATTTATCTAACGGTCAAGAAATTACAATTTTTTTCTTAATATCCCCCCCCAATAAATCAACAATTACGGCTGAAACCGATCCTACGGTCTCAAATTCATTAATCTAACAATTAATAAATTACAATTTTTTTCCTTAATATTTCCCTCTCAATAAGTCAACAATTATGGCCGATCTTGAAACATATCTTACGGTCTCAAATTTATTCATTCAACGGTCAAGAAATTAACATTTTTTTCCTTAATATTTTCTCTTCCAACCGGTCAACGATTACGACTGATCTTAGAATACAAGATTTTCTCTGATATAATAATTAAATGGGTTAAATTTGCCATTAATATCATCTGTGTAGTATAATATTTTGAATTTGTGTAAGATACAATGATAACATTTTGATTAAAAAAAACTCATCAATTTATTTAAGATAAAACAAAAATAAGGTCGTTGTTTAACACATTTATATTGAATATAATTAATTATCTCAAACTAACATGTCTTATACATATCCTGAATCAAAAATTCAAGACTAATTTTTTTTATATCTTAAGGATATCCAATACTAATATATTCTTTTAAATTAATAATTTTGTAATAGCTTATACTAATATATTCTTTTGATAAATTTTTAGTTTGTATTAAATTTAACTCGATTTTGATTACATGTATATAAATTAACATTTTTTTAAGTTAATTTTATCATATTTCCTGGATTTATCTATAATATAAACTAAGGTGGCTTCAACAGGCTTATCCTACAGTTTAAAATTCATTCATCCAACGACCATCAACATCTCTCTTAAAATCATTCATATTGAATTTTACCCTCCTCTTCTCACTATTCACTCTCTCTCTTTAGCAATGGCAGAGAAGGAAGGGGTCTGGGGCTATCCTGAAAAAAAAAAAAATTTAGTTATATATATATATTGGATTAATTGGTCCCACCTCAATAATTTATGAAAAATAAAATTAATTAGGTCAAACAAGTTGGGTACTAGAACAAAAAAAACTAAAAACAAAAAGTTCATACCAATCTCTTAAAATTAGCAAACTAAATTGATTATTTAGAGTATTGGTATGATATGTTGAAATGTCATTTGGTTCAAAAATTAAGGAATACATAGCCAAATGAGTAATATATGGAATTTGTAATTAAAAAAAATATAAAATAATAATTTTATTTGTGTCAAATCTATATCTATAATCAATAATATAAAACAGAGCGGCTTCTACAAGTCCATCCTACGGTATCAAATTCATTCATCAAATTGTCAAAAAATTATTATTTTTTCCTTAATATTTACCCTCTCAACCGGTCAACGATTACGACTGATTTTCAAACACAACTTATAGTCTCAAATTTATTCATCTAACGGTCAAGAAATTAACATTTTTTCTTTAATATTTTCCTTCCAACCAGTCAAAGATTACGACTGACATGGATTACAAGATTTTTTCTAACATAATAATTAAATGGTTCAAATTTGTCATTAATATTAATTGTGTAGTATAACATTTTAAATTTGTATAAGAAACAATGATAATATTTTGATTAAAAAAAATTCATCAATTTAACAGATTAAAAAAAAAAAACAAGGGCGATGTTTAACACATTTATATTGAATATAATTAATTTTAATTTTATTTATTTAATTAATTATCTCAAACTAAAATGCCTTACACATGTCTTGAATCAAAATTTTAAACCTATTTTTTTTTATCTCTTAAGCAAACTCAACGCTAATATATTCTTATAAATTAATAATTTTCTAATAACTTGTACTAATTAAAAAAATAATATTTATAGATTTTTTTTGATAGAAAATATTTTGGCGATATGCTTTTTGATAAATTAGAATTTTAGTTTGTATTTAATTTGACTCGATTTTGATTATATGTATATAAATTAATATTCAATTTTGATTACATATATATAAATTAATATTTTTTTCAGTCAATTCTATTATATTTTGTGGATTCTATAATATAAAACAGGGCGGGTTCAACAAGCCCATCCGACGGTCTCAAATAAACTCATCAAACAGCCACCAACATCTCTCTCAATATCATTCATATTAAATTTTGCATTCCTCTTCTCACTTTTCACTCAATTTCTCTGGCAGTGACAGAGAGGGTGGCGGAGGGAAGAGGGACCTGGGGCTACCATAAAAAAAATATTTTTTTAATTATATATGTTTTATATATTTTTTTAGATTAGTTGAACCCAATGTAATGATTTATGAAAAACAAAATTAATTGGATTAAACAAGTTGGGTAGTAGAACAAAAAAACAAAAAACAAAAAGTTCATACCAAATCTCTTAAAATTAACAAATTAAAATTAATTTCTTAGAGTATTGGTATAATATGTTGAAGTTTCCTTTGATTCAAAAATTATAGAATATATAGCCAAAAATGAGTAAAATATAGAATCTATAAAAAGATTAAAAATTATAAAATATTATTTTTATTTGTATCCAATAAATTATATTATTGATCCTTAATGTATAGATGTAATCTTATTAATTTTTTTCAAATAGAATTTTTTTATGTTTAATGAATTTTTAAGTATCAAATTTAATATAAAAAATATAAATATATCATATTATTTTTGTCTATTATACTTAAAGTGTGTCCACCTTAAATCATATTTTTTGCTCTGCCACTGCTCTCAGGAATTTTTCACTCCTCACTTTTCTAAATTAATTAATTGATTTATATTATAACGTGTCTTCAGATACGAATTATTTCTAGTATATATATATATATATATAGAGAGAGAGAGAGAGAGAGAGAGAGAGAGAGAGGAGATTTTCACACTCTTGGATCAAATTTCAAGAAACCACCCACAAATTTGATGGGGGAGGAGAGAGAGGGTGGTATATTAATGCATGGATCCGACTGGTTGTGTGTGTATGGAACATGCTTTGATTGACACCAGGGTGGTCAGGGGCGGAGGCAGGATGGGGGCAATTGTCCCCCCCCTACCCACTGAAATTTTGAAAATTTATAGGGTGAGTTTAAAATTATAATAAAAATTAAATTTTCTAATAAGTCCCCACTCATTTTTTTTAATGAACGGAAAAAATTTAGACTCAAAACTCGCTTGTACAGTCTTAATCTCACAAATATTTAATAAATTCGAATATGGATTATAAAAACGAACTCAATTAAATAATAAGATTAGATTCAAAATATGATTTTTAAGATAAATTGTCATTCAGATGAGTTAAAATATTATTATTGACAAGTTCACTCGCAAAGCGGTATGTCAAAATAACAATTGTCTTTATTCTAGTAATTTATACAAAAAAATATATATATATATATATATATTATATATCTTAATAATATATATATTTTAAGTATATTTATATGTAAATTTAAAAATAAAAAAAAATATGAAGAATTATTTTATAAAAGATTTTAGATTAGAAATATTTTTTTTATAGAGAATGAAATTTGAATAAATAATCATATTCATAAAATCAACGAATTTAATAATTATTATATAGTCATTTTTTTTTTATTTACTTTTCACTTAAGTGTGAAAAGTATTAGGTGGAATTAGGAGGAGTTGAAGAAGGAAAGGAATGAAGTGATACTAATAATTCCATTATTATCTTTATAAAGTCCAGTGAAGATATATAATTACTCCTGTTTATTTTCTTTATTGTTTCAATCAATTCTCATCATAATAAGAGAAGTACATACGGCAAACCTCAAAGATATTTCAAGTAATAATAGTGATTAGTTGTAAATTTAAATATTTTGAATTAAATTTTGACAATTTTTTAGAATTAGACTATGATAAATTTATTACTCATTAATCTTAAAATGAATAATTTGTCTTTAATTAGACCAAAGAACAAATTAGTCCTTAACACCTCTATTTGTTGTTTAAAAGAACACATGGGGCAGTCCAGCGTCTCTTTGTATTTGATGTTCATCATTTCATGTCCCAATAGTCCCATCTTTCTCTCTCACACGCGCAAACTCACATGCCTTCGAAATTGGGATAAAAACAATTTTAGGAAGCTTCGTTTCTGACCTCTTTTCTCTTGCCAATACATAAAGCAACCCTCAAAAAAAAAAAAAAAACTATGTCCCATTATTGTGTTTCAAGCTCTTCTCACTTAAACGCAACTTTGCTGTTCTGGGCTGTTGCACATTATGGTTTGTGAATAACCACCATTTGTGTTCTTTTGTTTTCTTCTCTTTATGAGATTAACCATCATTTCAATAGTTTCTGGCATTACTGTAATGCAAATGTCCTTACCCACAGCTCAAAAAGGTAGTCGCTTTGGTTCTATGGAGACCCAAGTGCTTCAATTTACCTCGTTAAAAAACCCAGTTCTTTAAAACGTTATTTTTGTTCTCCTTCCATTGAATAGAAGTAAAACCCTTGTGGGATTTCTTCTTCAGAGCTCCAAAACGAAGAGTGATGCAAATAACTTTAGTTAATGTTTCTTTCTCTCTCTCTCCTGTCAAAATCTTTTCTATCTTGCTTTGTTGGACATGATATTATTGTCTTTGTTAAAGGAAAGCTTAGTTTCCATTGATTAGACTAAATCTAAGTTCACTTTTCTTTATGCTTGATTGTGGAGGTGAGGAAATGAGTTCACTTTTCTTTATGACCAAGTGGAGTTGTACTGGAAAAGGACAATGGCTGCTTCCTGTTCCCTAAAGTTGACTGTAGCTATGGCATTTCTGACCTCAGAAAGAAGAACTAATTAATTTTCAGCAATGGTTTGTTGGTTTACAAAAAGAAGAGATAGTTGGTGAAATCAGGAGCAATTTACGAAGAATCAAGAAATCAGGACAAACGCAAGCCATATTTGGGTATGTTTGGCTCAATTTTTGCATCGTTTTTTTGACAGTATTGTTTTGAAGATGGGACTCTTACATAATTTCATATGTAAATAGATAGAAAAGGGTGAACTCTAAAGGTGGAAATTATGGCCACTGAGCAGCTAAACGAAGACGGAGTGCCACAAAACCTAAGGAAACAGCTTGCTTTTGCTGTTAAAAGCATTCAGTGGAGCTATGCAATCTTCTGGTCCATTTCATCAAGACAACCAGGGTATTGAATATTTCCAACTCTGCTCTTTCAACTTGGTTTTTTCTAGGATTTTCAGGTGTTTTTTTTCTCTTGGACATTTTTATCTTCAATTTTATGGGTAGAGTCTAAATTATTTCTACTGGGTCTGCTGAAGTTTGTAGGAAATTTACATAATAATATGTTACCTTGCTGATTATAATTTAACAGAATATTTTTGGGTTCAAAGAAATTACGGGTATATGCATGGAATTTCGTTTGTTCACTATTTTTTTCAATCAGATTTCTGTTCTTCCACAGAACCAAGTGCGGTAGATAAACAGTTAAGCTTTACATCTCATACTGATGGATCATATGCTTTAACATGCAGAGGTTAAGCCATTGAGCTTCATAGAACCTTCATATTTTTGCATTGTTAACTGGATTAGGGCCAATGCGACTATGCGAGTTTCCAGTGTTTCTTCCGTTAGCTTTCTAGCTCTTACCAACCTTGACTTCATACTCGTATATCACATTCACATGTTTTTCATGTGGAATTTCATCCTCCACTCAATGATTATGGTATTTCATATGGTATTTCATTCTCTGCAACAAGACGATGCTTGGTATTTGTCACCTCCATCATGGTTTACTATCTGAATCTCCTAAAAATTTGTTTTCCACTGCTGAGATTCTCTGATAATCTTTTCCTTAGCTTGCTTGAAAGGAAAATTCTACGAATACCTAGGCTAGAATTTCTTGAAATATGTTGGTACATATTTACATTTGAATCTACATTCATGTGTGAATCGTATCTCGTAGGGTATTGGAATGGGGTGATGGGTACTACAACGGAGATATTAAAACAAGGAAGACAGTTCAAGCAGTGGAAACAAATGCTGATCAGAGGACTGAGCAACTGAGAGAACTTTATGAATGTCTCTCAGCTGCTGAAACCAACCCACAAACTAAAAGGCCTTCAGCTGCATTATCTCCTGAAGATCTTTCAGATACAGAATGGTATTTCTTGGTTTGCATGTCGTTCGTATTCAACATTGGCCAAAGGTAATCTTTTTTTCTCAAGTTCTTGTTTGCTGATGCTCTGAATTCAATCCATTCAACTTATTTTTCAATGCGGTTTTGGGTAATCGATCGTCGTACAGCTTATTAACATACAGAGAAGCACAGCCATCAGTTTGCCAAAGAAAAATAAATTCATGATTTAAAGTTCGTCTGCATTCTGAATTTGTGATGTTGGTGAGACGAGATGTGCCCTAGAGTTTGTGTCCCATAGAAAACCTGGGACGCAGGGGGCGGGAAATGCATTTGTTCCAAGCCCAGAGAACAACCAAGCAAAGGCTGTCTCTAAATTGAACAGCCCTTGTATTTGATTTTCACTCCTTGAAACGACAGCGGAAAACAATCCTTTGCCGACACTATTATATGATAATTAGCAGAAAGGAAAGGAAGCACATGGTACCCTCCTTTAATTAGAACTGGACTCATACAACTATTGTCTGCTATCATTTGATGTGTGCAGGGGCTCATAAATTGTTCGCCTTCCATGTTGGGATCATTACTCTGTTTCACTGCTGAGCTATTTTGTTTGCTTTTGTTTGGTTAAAAGTTCCATTGTGACAATGACAGTGATTCACTCTATTGATCTAAATGAAAGCTAATTTTGATTGTCTTCAAAATTGTTCCTCAGGTTGCCTGGAAAAGCATTGGAAACTAATCAAACTGTCTGGCTATGCAATGCTCACAATGCAGAGAGCAAAGTGTTCAGCAGGTCTCTGCTAGCAAAGGTAAGTTCATATTTCTTAGCTTAGACCAAATCAAAGTCTGATTAAGACCCTATTTTTTGTAGCATAGTTTGTATTGGATTTTTTTGGGAAAGAACTAATTTCTCTCCCATTGTGGTTTTCATTCAATGACTGGACTTCCACTGCATTGCTCAGAGCGCATCCATTCAGGTACCGCCCTTTGTATTTGCACAAATTTTATATTACTCTAAAATCTCAAGATTCAATCTATTTTTATTTAGAAAAATAAAGGTTCTGTTTGGTTTGCATCTTAGAAGTTGTTTTCGAAAATAGTTTTTAGAAGAAAAGTTATTTGACCAATTGTTTTTCGTTTTTGTTTTTTGAAAACAGGGAATAAAAACTAGATAGATTTTAAATAACAAGTTAGAGTTGTTTTGTGTGTTTTTGGAAACAATTTTTCAAAAATTTAGAAAACACCACCACGGCGTCCACCACCACCACGCTCCCACCACCACATCCACCATACTAACACCACATCCACACTTCCACCACCACCACCACACTCCCACCACCATCATCGCCACCAACACCACAACACTTCCATCCCACCACCACCACAACCAACACGTCCACCACATCACCACCATCACATTTTTGTTTTTATTATTTTTTGATTTATTGTCTAAACAAGTTTTAATATTTTCTATTTCGTAAAACTGTTTTTTGAATCATATAACCAAACAAGATCTATGACACAAAAAAAAAAAAAAAAAACAATATTTAAAATTTTTTCCCAAAAATAGTTTTCGGATACTGTTTTTTGTGACGCAAATCAAACTTGGTCAAATATTGTCATCTTGTTATTTGTACTTTTTCACTAGAAGTACATATGCTAGTCATGCCTTATCTTCTCCATCATTTTGTAGACTGTGGTATGCTTCCCACATGTAGGAGGAGTAATCGAGCTAGGCGTAACTGAGCTGGTAAGTTAATTAACATCAGATTCAATCTCGAATATTGTCATATAGAGTTTGCCTTGGTGCATTTTCTTAGTGCATTTTGTTGCCAATAATTGGACTTAATATGTTTACTGAAGGTTTTGGATGATCCCAATCTTGTTCAGCACATAAAGACTTACTTCTTGGAGACTCCATGCCCAATACTCACCAATATGTCTGAATATGACTCGCGTCAAAAGTTATATAACTGTGTTTCAGCAAATGCAAGAACAACCGAAGATTTTCCTCATGCCAATCTAGATGATTTTCTGGATACAACTCCGAAACCAGTTGTAGAATGTGAAGAAGTATACACTTGTTCTCTCAATTATAGTTCAAACGGGTTTCAGCCCAATCGACCAGCAGAGGAATCATACATGGTTGATGTCATTAATGGAGGAACTTCTCAAGTACAAAGTCGGCAATTCATGGATGATGAAATTAGTAATAGTGCCCACAGTTCCATGAATTCCAGTGACTGTATATCTCAAACCTTTGTAAAACCCGAAAAGGGTGTCCCTCTATCAGATGGAGAGAAGGTAAATCATGAGTCCAATTGGGCAAAACTCGCCTCATTTGATTCAAGAAATGGTATTCACTATCAAAGTATTCTTTCAACGATTTTGAAGTGCTCTCACCAGTTGATTTTGGGACGACCCTGGCTTCAAAACTGTAATAAAGGATCAAGTTTTGTTGGTTGGAAGGAGGAGGTAGAGCCAAGTACTCAGATGCCTCGAAGTGAAGCTCCACAAAAATTATTAAAGAAGGTACTCTTTGAAGTTGCTCGACGGAAGGAAATGACAATGCATGGTGATTGTTTGGCCAAGTCTAGAGAAGATAATGACCAAAGCGGTAGACTGTGGAGACCAGAGGCTGATGACATTGATGTGAACCATGTATTGTCAGAGGGGAGACGAAGTGAAAAAGAAAACGAAAGATTTTTGCTTCTTGGATCCTTGGTTCCATCTACCGGAAAAGTATTTTGATCTCTGTTTCATCTGTTATGGTTTTTTTCGAAGACATTTAGGAAAATTTTTTACGTTTTTCTTCTTTTGTCATATATAAATACAGGTTGGCAAAGAATCGATACTTGATGACACAATAAAGTATTTGAAAGAGCTCAAGAGAAGGGTTGAAGAGTTGGAGTCTTGCCAGGAAGTGGAAGCAGTGGAAGAAAGAAGAAGAAGAAAATCACATGATCATGCTGTAGAGAGAACATCTGATAATTATGGAAACAAAAAGATTGGTAACAGTAAGAAGCCATTGAAACACAAGAGGAAGGTTTGTGATGCTGATGAAATGGAGCCTGAAAGCCATCGGGTTCCATTGAGCGAGAGTTCAACTGATGATGATGTAACTGTAAGCGTGATCAAGCACGATGTTCTGATAAAGATGAAGTGTGCTTGGAGGGAGTCTTTGTTGCTAGAAATCTTGGATACAATAAACAATCTTAATTTGGACTCTCACACAGTTCAATCTTCAAACATCGATGGGATTCTCTCCTTGACAATTAAATCAAAGGTTTGTACTCGTCATTACACAAAAGCTATGCATCGAATTGGATCAAATAGACTTTAGATTTCTTCTAACTTTAATACATATGTATTGCAGTTAACTGGATCAGCAATTGCATCGACAGAGATGATCAAGCAAGCACTTCAGAGAATTATTGGCTAAGAATTTAAAAAAAAATCTGACTGTAAAAATGTTGGGTCTTTGAGTTCCTCGAATTTTTAGCTTCAATTACTGCAAGATTATGTATATTTGTAGCAACTATCATAGATCTCCCACTATCAGAATCACTGGCCCTATGATAGTATCCACATGAATTGGATGTGCTCTTACATGTAAAACATTAATTGCCCAGTTAATGACTTCATCGTAGTGTTACTTTCTGAAAGAGCGTGTTTCAAAGCAATTTTGAAGAATAAGGACTATACGGATTCAAGTTGCTTGTGCATGCAACTGTGTGAGTGTGTGTGAGAGAGAGAGAGAGAGAGAGAGAGAGAGAAGCATGATTATGTATACTTTATTAAAAACAGATTGGGTATCTTTAAAGGAAAGTTTGGTCCCCCAAGCTTTAGTCTCAAGTGTGGGGGCATTTCAGATAAAACTGAAGTTCTTGGACATGAGTGAGCAGACCGTGCATGCCAATCTAATCATGTCAAGTCTTTTCCAATTAAGAATTGCTTTAGGAGAGGCTGCGGGATTAGGTGTCTGGCCATGAGATTAGGGAAATTTGGGTTTGGTTAGTGGAGGTGGTGGTGGTGGTGGTGGTGGTGGTGGTGGTTTGGAGTCAGTGGGGTTTTGGGGTTTAGGTTTGGTGGAGATGATGGGTTCAGGTGGATTTGAGGCGATGGGTTCATTTGCGGTGATGGTAATGGGGTGGTTTGAGGCGGTGGTGCACATGGGTGGTGGCAGATGCATGTATGAAATGTATGATGCAGAGATGGTGGAAATCTACAGATAGAACTTCACCAAAAAACCCTCTCTCTAATGGTTAGACCACATACAACAACAGCCATGTTACCATTACACCTCATACTAACAGAAATTGCTAGTGCTAGTAATTGGTAATAAGTTAAAAATGTCACCGTTGATGTTGCAATCAATGATATCGCTACAATTAATTGTTTTTATAGGTGGCATCCTTTGAATTGGAATAAAGTATGCATATAGAGCATAAAAAAATTCCTTCTACTCATTGTACATTTGAAACAACCAATGACTTGAATGAAGAATGGCATTTTATAATCAAATTTTCCATAAATAGGTCAAAGCATTTACATGCAATGCATGGTCAGAACCAAAGATTTTGCTTTGAGCACTGACCCTAGACATTGTAAATTAGAAGTACTCATTGCCCTGCAACCTCTAGGAATGACACTATAGAAGCTCGCCCTATATTCGTATAAAGCCATAAGAAACCTTACTCATTTTGGCTAAGCTATAGGTATTCAAGAAGGAATCATTCCCACTCAATTGTTGATGGAGGCTTCGATGTAATGTCTTGAACGACACGGTTTACACCACGGACGCTGTTACAAATCTTTCTTACCACATCATCGAGGAACTTGTGTTCAAAATTGTACCTGGAGTTTCATGATTTCCAAAATAAAAATATATTAACACATTAACAAGTACTTTATGAAAAGATCAATCTGGATGTAAATCTTCTGTCGATAGGAAGCAACACTTTCAAGTTTCAAGACTCACAATCACAACCAATAAGTAAAATTATCTCTTCAAAATTAAGCTCAAAAGAAAGAATTAAGAACAATGATCAGTTGTCCACATGCCAAACTCCTCATAGTAACCCACACAATAATTTATCTATTAATGCATCTGGCACAGCAAACATGAATCCCCTAGTGTAAACCCTCAGCCCCTTTCAGATTTGTAATGGTAGAATGAAACAACAAAACAACAATTAAAAGGAACAACTTCAACATCTTAGCAACATTATACAAATGTAAACAAGCAACTAGCCCACTACAAAATCCTTACAATAAATGAAATGCGTGAGGAAAAAATGATCAGACTGCATGCTTAAATTTCATATTCCAATATCGCACACATATACACAAACATCTAGATGCTCTTTTATATAGGAATCAACAAAAAAGTTCACAAAATAGATAAAATCAACAAAGATGTAAGAGAAAAAAAAAACTCACCAGTCTGCGGGCATTCCATCTTGACTTGTAACAGCTCTTAAAGCGACAACATGAGAATGAGTTCTTTGATCTCCTTGAACCCCGACTGATCTTATTGGCAAAAACACAGCAAAAGCTTGCCATATAGAATCATAAATCCCAGCATCTTTGATTGATTGAATGAAGATCTCACCCACCTAAGTTATAGCCAGAACGATATATTAAGCGGATAACCAAGACGGAAAATGTCATGCTCCATAGACAAGCACAAAAATACTCCATATACCTGGCGGAGGATATCCAAGGCATTCCCTTCAGTCACATCACCCAAAACCCGTACAGCAAGACCAGGCCCAGGGAAGGGGTGACGCTTTAGAAATGCCCCTGGAATGTCTAATATCTTTCCCAATGCACGAACCTTCCCAAAAGTGAAACGAAAGAAGTAAAAAAAAATATGAGTACCAAACATTTAAAATATTCAAGAGTTGACTATCATATAAAAAAGTGCCTAACTTCATTAACAAATCTGAAAGGGTGTCTAAATTTGGAGGGGACTAAGAGGAGAGACTTCATCCTTAAATAAAAGCTTAAGTGGTTCAATAAGCTTCAATTTCATGTCCCTGGGAAGCCCTCCAACCATAGTTATCAAATCGTGTATCGGAAGGCGTATCGTAAGATACAAATATTGTATCGTATCGTGTATCGTATCGTGTATCGTAAGATACGATGCAATTTTAAATAAATAATAAAAAAATATATATACCTTTGAAAAAAAGTCATACACTCATAAAAAATATAGCATTTCATTAATACTCCACCAACTATTCAAGTTATCAACATAATCCACTACTATTATAATGCAAAGTTCACAACCATAGTTCACTAATTCAAACTTTAAACACCAAAGAGACTTCTAATCCAAATTTCTAACATCCATTTTGAACTCAATCTTCAATTTCAATTGAAAATGCATCATCATCATCATCATTGTGATCGGATGCCAACAAGTCTTCACTTCCTTTATCATCTTCAACTTCTTGTATTTGTTCATCCTCATCCTCATCCTCATCCTCATCTTCAAATTGAACTATTTGTTTTCCTTTTTTCTTGTATAAAGTAAGATTTCTAGGCCCTACAAAGCAACCAATACAAAATATAAAAAAAATAAAATTCAAAGTAATGGAGAAGAAGAAAAAACAACCACTACATTTTAATTACCTCTCTTTCTCTTTTTGCTAGTCCCTTCTTGAACCTCAAAACATTCACCAACATTCATCCAAGTAGTGTCCTCAGGAAGGAGTGCATCTTCTTTTTCAGTGATCCACTCATCATCAGATTCCATATCTGAGAGAGAAATAGGATCATAGGAATCACCCTCTAGTATTCTCTTTTGGTGTCTTGCCTCCAATCGAAGATTGTACTTCACAAACACAAGTGCACTTAATCTTTGTTGCTCTAATCGATTTCTCCTCTTAGAGTGCACCTGGTCAAATGTACTCCAATTCCTCTCACATCCAGTGGCACTACAAGTCAAGCTAAGGACGCGGATAGCAAGTTGTTGCAACTCTGGACAACATCCTCCAAATGATTCCCACCACAAGGCTATAAAAAATTACAATAGAATACTCTATTAACTAACTTAAGCAGTTACATTCAAATAACTAACTTAAGTTAAGTTACCACTAACCAGGTTGTTTCTTCTTCCTCATTTGGATTGCCATGTCCATTCCAAACATCAAATCAGCATTATGAAAGATATCTAATTGTTTATCAACTTTTTCTCTCATAATAGGACTTGGGCACATTCTCTGAATAGTCTGATATAGTCCCATCTTTATCTTATAGTCCGCACTACCGGTGTAATGAAACCTGAAATAATTATTTTGATTTACAATGATCATTGATCAGCATACAATATATAGATATAAAATGATATAAAAATTGAGAAAAATAAGTCTTACGCGGGATTGAGATAATAGGCAGCTGCATGAAGAGGTCTGTGTAATTGCATGTTCCATCTAGTGTCAACAATAGTCCATATGGGCTCATAGTGCTTCTTCACATTACGAAAATTCTTTTGGATTTGTTCCTTTGCCTTGTCCATTGCCTCATAAATATACCCCATGGCAGGCTTTAGATCCCCATCTACAAGCCTCAACACCTTCACCAATGGCAACACACACTTCAAGCAATACTTGATTGATCCCCAAAAATTTTGGTCAACTAGTATAATATCCATCACTCTTACACCATCTCCCTTCTTACAATATTGACTTCTCTGCCATTCCTCAGAAGCAAACATTGCTCTAAGCCCAATTTTATTTTCAAATAAACTCCTTAAAGTTAAATATGAGGTGGCAAATCTGGTCACACAAGCTCTCACCAAATCCCTTTTCTTTGTATACTTTCTCATAAGATTTAACACCCAAGAATGTCTATAAATGTAAACTGTGATTTTCCTTGCCTTTGACATTATATCCTTGTGCAGAGGAAGGTCCCCAATATCCGTCAAAATGAGATCTAGACAATGTGCACCGCAAGGAGACCAAAACAACTTTTTCCTCTTTGCCATTAACAACTCCCCAGCTTTTACATAAGCCGATGCACTATCAGTTACAACCTGAACAACATTATCCTCACCAATCTCTTCTACCATTGAATCTAAAAGCTCAAAAAGATTATCCGCATTCTTACAAATACCTGAAGTATCAATACTTTTAAGAAACACACTTCCTCTAGGACTATTCACTAAAAAATTAGTGATTGAGCGATGTTTCCCATCAGTCCATCCATCAGACATAAGAGTACAACCCGTCCTTCTCCACTCTGCTTTATAATTTTCCATCAACCCACCATTAATCAAATTTGTTTCTTTTTTCAAAAAAGAACATCTCACCTCATGATACGATGGAGGTTTCAATCCCTTACCAAACGATGCAACAGATTCTAACATTCTTACAAAATATGGATCCTTTACCAAATTAAAAGGAAGGGCATTAGCATAAAAACATCTACAAATATCCAAGCATACATCTTCCCTACCCTTTTTCTTCAACATAGTATTCAAAGTAATTGTGGTGGTTGGCTGTATTTTATCAGCAGTAGTACTACCCACACTGCCACTACTTTTCGAATCCACAAGACTCATATCTTTGCTAATTGCCCTATCATCCAATAATTGCTTAAAAAATTCAGTTACTTCCTCAGGGCAATGCTTACACGCTGCTACATCTTTGCGATTACTTGCCAAATGATTTTTCATTCTTGAAATGCCTCCCCAATAGACATTTGCACAATGAATGCATTTCAATTTCAACCTTGATCCTTCTACTTTGTCACAATGTTCCCATGTGGGATCATTAGCAAGTTTTTTAGTCATTTCTATATGAAAATTGGATGCAGGTGATGCCACTGTTGCACAAAATTAAAATTAATCAAGATTCAAAAATTTTTATACAAAAAAATTTATATACATTTGGCTTTGTAAATAAATTAATATCATTACATACTGCACAGGACCAACGATCAATGGAGACTGGGAAGAAGAAGAAAAAGGAGTACCTGGAGAAGGAAGAAGGCAGCGATCAACACCCACAGTCGGAGACAAGCAATCACCCACAGACGAAGACCGGCAATCACCCACAGTTGGAGACCACCCACAATCGATCACCACCCAGACTCGAAGACCACCCACAGTCGAAGACCACCCACCCAGTCGGAGACCAGTCGAACACAGTCGAAGACCACCCACAGTCGAAGACCACCCACCCAGTCGGAGACCAGTCGAACACAGTCGAAGACCACCCACAGTCGAAGACCACCCACCCAGTCAGAGACCAGTCGAACACAGTCGAAGACCACCCACAGTCGAAGACCACCCACCCAGTCGGAGACCAGTCGAACACAGTCGAAGACCACCCACACAGTCGAAGACCACCCACAGCGATCACCACCTACAAGTCGAAGACTTCCCACAGTCGATCATCACCCACCCACAGACGTCGGTCGATGGCTGAAGAGAAACGACAGACATCGGTCGATGGCTGAGAGAAACCAGACGTCGGTCGATGGCTGAAATGTCTGATATATGTGAGAAATGTGTGAATTTTTTTTTTGTAACCCTAACCACTGAAACGACGTCGTTTCAGTGGTTATAGGGAATTGAAAAAAAAAAATTCAACACACTTCAACCAACGTCGTTTTAAAAAAAAAAAAAAAAAATTTGCACGTATCGTGCGTTTCGTACCGATACGTATCGTATCGTAAAAACGTATCGTGTATCGGACGATACAACGCAAAAACGATACATAACTACGATCCGTATCGTTTTAGGTCTGTATCGTAACGTATCGTACGATACGTATCGTGTATCGTACGATACTAACAACTTTGCCTCCAACATTATGATGACTCTTGATCGTGTGGGAGTGGGTTCTTCCACTTCCAGATGGTGGGCAAGATTCAATCACATCCAGGTACAATGTTCCTTGTACTAAATAAGCAGGTCTCTTACCCATTGTTTGCTCCAAATCTTGGGCAAAAGCATCAAAAATAGCGATGAACTCCTTTCCAATTATTTTTCTCTTCATCTCTGGATCAACCACACCTTTCAGCTTGCCAAGGAATTGCTGTGTAGCATCAATGCAAGTTACAGGTAAATGAAGTTCCCTTTCAAAAGTTTCCATTACCCGCTCTCTCTCTTTATACCTGCAGGGACAAAAGACCATAATCAAGTGTTCGGCGTGCATAAAAATTATCATCCTTCTCTAGAGTACACCCTAAGTTACTATAGAAGTTGACATTCAATTTCTTTTTTGCTTTTATAGTCAAAACTGGTTGCAATCTCACCTCAATAAACCATTATCAACAAAAACACAGTGAAGCCTGTCTCCAATTGCTTTGTGAACAGCAGTGGCTGCAACAGTGGAATCCACACCCCCGGACAGTGCATAAATGACATGATCTTCAGGCCCCAACATGCCTCGGATAACTTTTATTTCTTCATCTGGTACATCTTCCATCTTCCATCTTCCAGTCAGCAACGACTCACAAATATCAAACAGGAAATGCTGCAGTGTTTCCATTCCATCTGGTGAATGTGTAACCTATACAAGCTTCAACAAACTCATGGTCTAGAACAAAAATTTGTTAATGCTCAATAAATACCATATATCCATTAATTAGAAAACTATTATACATACGGATATCTCAAGACTTTAGGAAACACAAATGGTTATCCTTTTGACCTTCATTTATGCATCAGACTTGCTGATTGATGTAATCCAGACCACCACAGCATCAGTCAGCTTTTATAAGGCTTTTTAATACAACTGAAATAAACGAGTTATCCAGTTAACTCACTTGAATTCTATCATGTCACATTTCCTTTAAGTCTTTACACCTTAACCATATTTCAGTTTACTTCTATACCTGCTGAGCACATCAACCTACCAACTTTCCATTAACCTACATTTCATAACCAAATGGATCTGAGCTAAGCTTTAAGCTGTCCAAACCGAGTGGACAGTCATTTATTTGAACCAGAACGGTAAGATTTTAGTACTATCCATTAGGTGAAAAAAAAAATTTCTACGTAATGCACTTTTATCTCCTATTCTTTACTGTTAATTTTTGAACACGCACCATTCAATTATCAAAACCAAGAACCAGACTTCCAGAACAATTGGCACATTATATTCCACAAACCTAAATTCATACTCGGTAAAACCAATTTCAAAGAATCCTCTGCTCTCTCAATGCGTCATTCAATTTACAACAGAACAAAATTTTAAAACGACCAATTATACAATACACCACAAAATCCAAGCATATCAATTTATCCAATTACCTCGGGATGATACTGAAGCCCATAAAACCTTCTTGCCCGATTCTCTACCCCGGCCACTGAACCCTGATGACTCCTAGCCACCACTTCAAACCCATCAGGCAACTTCACAGCTTCATCATCATGACTCATCCACACAACCTGCCTATCACCAACCTCTTTGTTCCCAAACAACCCACAAGCTTTCTCAACCTCAATTTCCATCATCCCATACTCCTGCTTCTGACCAGCCCTCACTTTACCACCCAGTCTCTCCACAATCAACTGCAATCCATAGCATATGCCCAAAACAAACACGCCGTTCTACTCAACGTACTCCACGAACCCAGGTGGAAAACAAGGAGCGTTGGCATCGTGGACAGAGTGTGGCCCACCAGAGAGGATGATTACACTTGGGTGTAGGTCGGTTATGGATTTGAGTGATGATATACCTCAAAAGCATAGAGAGAAGACTGAGAGGCTTCGGATTCGGCGTGTGATGAGGTGATTGTATTGGGAACCATAGTCTAAAATGAGAACTAGATTTGATTTCACCGCCTGAGGTTCCATGGCTATGATTTTGGAGGTCTGGTGAGTGGTGAGGGAGTGAGAGAGTCGGAGAGGGAGACAGAAAATGAAAACTAGGGTTTTCGGGGTTTGGCGGAAATGTACCCAAATATCCGAGGAATATATTATTTTTTTCGCTTGGCAAATTTGAGAAAGAAACCTAAAGTAATTCAATTGGTCACGAGAGTTTATTTAAATATTATGGCAGCAAGTCGGGCGGTTTTGACGGATTGGATAATCAATCTTAGTTCAATTTTAAGGATATAATTTTTAATCTTAACCTTATCTCAAGTTGGAGAACTTAACCTGAGTACTGCTCAAGTTTAATTTGGGCGGACTCAATTTGGATAAAGCTCAAAATAGATTTATTGTTCTAAACCTAATACATATATTACATAATATTCACCTAAATTAACAACTAATAATTTTAGCCAAGTTTTTAACGAGAGAGGCTAAGAGAATGAGAGAGACAAAGAACGATAGAACAAAAATGAAAAATCAGTGCTAATGTTATATATATAATTTTTTTTTTAATATGTTATGTTTGGGTTCACAAGGCCTTAACCCAAGCTCAGTCCAAATTGAATTCGGGTTAGAATTTTTTGACTCAAGTCCAACCCAAATATTAAAAACTCTTGTCCAAACCCTAATTTTTTTGAGTTGAAATCGGGTTGTCCAACTCAAATTTCACTCCTAATAGATATTTTAGTTATAATGCTGATGGTATATTTTTTATCAGATCATAGATAGGACTAGTTGTAATCTCGACATGAATAATTTATCTTTAACCGAATCAAGGAATAGATTAGTTGAGATTTGCATAAACTGATCTGAACACTTGGATCAAAAAAGAGATTAGTCATAGTTTCGGCGTGATTAATCGAACTGGATTAGAAAAGAGATTAATGGAGATGCGCATAAAATAACTTAGATACCCCTGATTATTAAATTAAAAAAAATTGTATATTTGTCGATTGTAGGCCAATTTTTCTAATTTCCAACCTCTCAAATTGGAGATGATTAAATTTCAAAAATAAAATAATTATTAATTTTTTAAAAATAATACTTATTAAATTATTTACTAAATTTTGTACATCAAATCGGTGTAGATGGTTATATTAGTGGATCTCACTTACTCTCACTAAACATTCAATGTAAAACTTTCGCGTATATCATTTAGATTACAATATTTGATAAATTCATTTGAAATTCATAATTTTATTGATTGTTAATTACACAAGTGCACTAAGGTTAATTCCTAAATTGCTAAAGTATCAAAACAAAAATGAATCAACTAATCCACCCCAAATTCGAGTATTGAGATTTTCTTTAATATATATATTTTTTAATACATCGCTTATTTAGTATGAACTCAGGTTGGACTTAAATACATATACATGAGTTTCTCATTCACTACCGGTTTATTTGGTTAGAAAGAAAAAATTATGAAATCAAAAGTGATAGAAAATAAAGTGAAATAAAAGAAAAAGATAGAAAAATATATTTTTATACACGTATTTGATTAGAATAAAAAACTTGCTAGAATTTTTTTAAAAAATTTAATTATATTATTTGAAAGAAAAGAAGGTAAAAACTTTCTTTAATTATCTAAATTATCCTTAATTGTACTATAAATCAGTCTAATGAAAAAAATATATATATTATAAATAAAAGTTAATTTAAAAAAAAAAGTGACCCTTAATCTAATTACGAGACAAGGATATATTCAAACCCAGATTTTCGGGTTAAATTTTATGGTTAACTTAACTCATATTAAGCTTTTTCAATATTAAGGGTAAAATGAGAGTTTATATTAAATATCACAATTTTCTTGACTTTCCCCGTATTTTTTTACAAGAAAAAAATATGCTGGTTAAAGAGTCCTTTAAATAGTATTTTGTTTTTAAATTTAATTTTTTTTTGTTTTTCTAATTGAAACTTACTCAGTTCTTTTAATCATAATTAAATATATAATTATATATAATATGTGTATATAAATAATATATTTTATGTACTAAAATATATGTAGATTATTTTTATTAAATAAAATTTTTTTAAAAATTATTTTTTATTTAAAAACTGTAATCGGTTGTTAAAACTTAGGCGGTTAATTTTTGAATCTTAAATTACCCATTAGATCAGGCAGAAGAAAGGGCAATAACTAACTACGATTTAACTACCTTTTAAAACGTCACCGTTTTAACTGTCCCAACGTTTTCTCCGTAAACCCCTATCTCTTCCTGTTCAACGCTAAACCCCATCTCTCTCTCTCTCTCTCTCTGTTATACACTCCGACAGACGATGCCACTCACCTTCCTCTCCCTCTTACCATTCCCTCCACCTCCACTTTTTCTCTCTACCCACCACTCTCTTTCTCCAAAATTCCACCACCCATTTCTCTCTTATCTCCGCCGAACCCATTTCACTTCTCTCACCACCACCCCATTTGCCATCGGCCCAGATGGCAAGTTCTATCCAAACCCATCGGACGACGACCCACCTGAGGCCCCCGAAGACTCAATGCACGGCGTCAATAAGTTCCAGCAAATCCACCGCCAAGCTGCCAAAGCCCGAAAACACCAAGAAGAACAGTTCAAGAAAGACCAGTCCATATTCGTTAACGCCCTTGCCGACGTCGAAGACCCAACCGAGAATCCCAGTTCCGTTGACAATGACAATTCTGGGGACGATTTGTTCGGGGAGATCGACAAAGCCATAGCTTTAAAAAGAAAAGAATTTGTCAAACAAGGCCTTCTAAAGCCCAATCCTAAGAAAGAGCAAGAAATTCTTGAAGGAATTGATGAATTGGAGCCTCAAGAGGTGGTTGATTTGGAGGAAATTAAGGATCTTCAAGGATTGACTGTGATATCTGAAGAGGATGAGGATTCGGGGGATGTGGAAAGTTCTGATATTGAGGTGAGTGACGAAATGTTTAATGGTCAATTATCAAATTTGTCGTCGTTTGATATTGATTTTGATGGTTTGGATATAAATAAAACTAGAATAGTCGAACCCAAATTTAGAATGTCATTAGATGAGCTTTTGGATGAGAGTAAGATAGTGCCCATATCAGTATATGGTAACTTAGAGGTGGAGATTAGTGGAATTCAGCATGATTCGAGAGTGGTTGAGTCTGGGGATTTGTTTGTGTGTTGTGTTGGTAGGAAAACTGATGGGCATTTGTATTTAAGTGAGGCTGATAAGAGAGGGGCTGTGGCAGTAGTGGCTAGTAAAGAGATTGATATAGAAGAGACATTAGGGTGTAAGGCTTTAGTTATTGTCGAGGACACAAATGCAGTGCTAGCGGCATTGGCTGCTTCCTTTTATAGGTACCCTAGTACAAATTTGTCTGTTATTGGGATTACTGGGACTAATGGGAAGACCACGGTTGCATATTTGATAAAGGGGATGTATGAGGCAATGGGATTGAGAACTGGGATGTTGAGTACTGTTGCATATTATGTTCATGGGGATAATAAGTTGGAGTCGCCTAATACGACAGCTGATGCTGTTTTGGTTCAGAAGTTGATGGCAAAGATGGTGCACAATGGGACAGAAGCTTTGGTGATGGAGGCTTCTTCTCATGGACTAGCTTTAGGGAGATGTGATGAGGTTGATTTTGATATTGCGGTCTTCACGAATTTGACAAAGGATCATACGGATTTTCATGGGACTGAAGAGGAGTATAGGGATGCCAAGGCCAGGTTGTTTGCGAGGATGGTGGACCCACAACGACATAGGAAAATTGTGAACATCGATGACCCAAGTGCAGCTTTCTTTATTTCCCAAGGGAACCCGGATGTACCTATTGTGACTTATGCAATGGAGAATAAGAATGCTGATGTTCATCCATTGAAATTTGAGCTCTCTCTGTTTGAAACCCAGGTTTTGGTGAATACGCCAAAAGGTATTTTGGAGATTTCGTCAGGGTTGCTTGGGAGGCATAATATTTACAACATTCTCACAGCTGTTGCAGTTGGGATTGCAGTTGGGGCACCTTTGGAGGATATCGTTAGGGGGATTGAAGAGGTTGATGCAGTGCCTGGTAGGTGTGAGTTGATAGATGAGGAACAGGCATTCGCTGTGATCGTAGACCATGCTCATACTCCCGATGCCTTGTCAATACTGCTTGATAATGTAAGGGAGCTCAACCCAAGGAGGATTATCACCGGTATGCTTCTTATACGTACTCCTTTTCTCTTCTTTTGTTGTTTTTCTTTTATTTCTACGGAGGGCCTTATACCATATTTTTACTGGTTAGGATATTGTTTTTAAGTTGTACTTTGTTTTACAATTAAATATGTTCGAATTTCAAGCAACTGTTAATAGGAAGTTGAATTTTAGCTTCAGTGTAACTTCTGGTTTCATCACTTATCCGAAAAGGACATAAGAAACGAAAAATTTAGTTAATCAGTTGGCTAATCGATGGTTTCTCATGCTCCATTTTTTGGCGGAGACTATCTCTCCAGTTTTTGGGTTATTTAGCCTGTGTGGTACATTTGCATTCCATTGTTAGTCCTAATTAGGGTGGAATCTTGAACTTTCGTAGGAGTTTCAACATTTATCCAAAGTGGCACCATTTATTGTTTAAAGATGTTGAAAGTAGTTAGTACTGAAATCACAAGGTCTTGGAAATTGCTTCATTTAGAAACAGATCTTGAAAAGTCAACCTGTTGACAATTAACTTTCTTCCATAATTTGCTTACTATAACCACCCATTTTCCTGATGTCAAAAGCTGCTGTGTTTTTATTGTTGGTTATATATCAGGAGATAACTGTGATTGTAAACATGACTTCGCTATTTATTGTCTCTTACTGCATTTTTGCTGCTGGAGTAGTAGCTAAGGTTCGTAAAGATTATATTTATTATCCTTGTCTAACCAAATTTTCATGCATTACTTGAAGTTTTTGGTTGTGTTGGAGAGGGTGATAGAGGAAAGAGACCCATGATGACGAAGATCGCGACAGACAAAAGCGATGTAACGATTCTGACATCCGATAATCCAAAAAATGAAGATCCACGTGAGTACAATAAACCATACAGCATGAAGGAGACATGCTGTCACTGATAATGAACCGTCAAACAGCATGCTTCTATGTTTATCATGCTTCTTTGAATTTTCGATGCAACGTTCAATTGTATGATCTCTCTCCCCTTCCCTCCCTCTCTCTCTGTCCTTCTTTTCCTCAGCTTGTCAAATTTAAGCAATAAGACTAATATGCTAAGTTCTGGATCAAATGCCTGGAAGCATGATACTGATGCCTCGTCATTTAATCTACATCAGTGGACATCTTGGATGACATGTTGGCTGGCGTTGGATGGACTATGCAGGATTACTTAAAACATGGAGAGAATGATTACTACCCACCTCTTCCCAATGGCCACAGACTCTTCCTGCATGATATTAGACGGGTAGCCGTACGTTGTGCTGTTGCCATGGGTGAGGAAGGTGATATTGTTGTAAGTTTTTTAGGGCCCCTTCCTGCTTCTCTTCTCTGTTGGTGACTCAAATTAATACTCAAACATCACAACAGGTTTGCAGTTACATAATTCTAATATGAACTCCAATAAGGGAAATGAAATTATTGACATTTAGAACAGACTCATTACCTAAGCCTTTAACATTCAAACAGAATGTAAACATGATAATATTGCTTAAAACCTTGAGAAAACCATATTTACTGCGTTGTACTCTGTAATTTGCTCTGGTGCTCCTTACCACTATGTTGCTTTTGCCGTTTAGAGGTTGAGATTGGGACAGTAATGAAACTGATGGTCTTTGTTTCCTTCTCTTCCTCTTTGGATGCTTAAGAGCAGTTACCGTGTGTGCTCTCTCAATTATTTCCTGACTAATCTTGTGTTTCTGTTTCTATGCTGCAGGTGGTTGCCGGCAAAGGCCACGAAACATACCAGATGGAAGGTGACAAAAAAGAGTTCTTTGATGACAGGGAAGAGTGTCGAGAAGCATTACAATATGTTGATGAGCTTCACCAAGCTGGGATTGACACGAGTGAATTCCCATGGCGGTAATTTTTCACTTTTTCCTGTTCCATATATGAAATCATCAATTACTGTATTTATAAATATGAATATACACATGATTACTTTCTCGTGACTACTTGTTAAAAAAGTTAAGTACTTGTCATGATCATCAATAGCTTGAAAAGAACCACTTTTGCCTTGTGAGTCTGGTAAAGCAGCCTATAGGGCCTTTCCAGACAGCTTGGCTTATAGCATACAGGATTCTGTAATTCTTTGACTGTCTCACAAGATCTATGTCATCTACTATCAACTATTTGTGACAAATACTAGGCTTTTAGCTCCAATGATATCTAAAGAAGAGAAAGTGAATGGTTTCTTACAACAATGTAAGCTCGTATTATAGATCTTGCAACATCTATTGGGGCAACTTTATTCTCTATTTGCTGCACTGTACTCGAGGGTCATTGATGTGGCGTGAGAGGAAGAGAATTAATGTTGATCATGCTAAAGTAATTGGGTATTTTTGCCCATCCCGCTGCAGGTTGCCAGAGAGTCATTGATACAGTGCCAAAAAGAAGCATTGAAGATCTTGTGGCTGCTAAAGACGGAGCCATTATGGGAGTATCAGCCCCATAGCACTTGGAGGAGCAGGTCCCCGTTGATGCATCTGGTATAGAGTGCACTGATTGAATTGATGAGAACCTACATTTGAAGGCAAATGGTCGTGTCTAGCCATATTTTGGTGCCACTTTAACTCCTCTGAACACTATCTTTTGGCCATTGCTGTTAAAGATGCATTTGCACAACGAACCAGTTCCTGCTCAAATCTTCAATGGATGCGCTTGTAGAGGTCTAAACTAATTGATGAAGGGAGTTCTAGCCCATCTTGTTGACTCTCTATGAATTGGGCTCTCTGGGATCTTGGCCTATCCTCTGAAGTCGAATTAATATTGTGGAGGGTGGTTATCGTTATAGGGATGTCATTGTACTCCTGATATCTGCTTAATGTCTCTGAGTTTTTAAGAAAATGTTTGTTCTCTTTTAGTGCAACTGCAAGAAAAGTACACTGCAAAGTCTGCAATTGAAGGGGCATGTGACATTGTGAATCTTAAGTTGTTCTATTGTTGTAATTCAATGGCAGCTTATGAGCTTCTAACCTAAATTCATCTAGTTTGCTTCTTTTTTTTTTTGAACAGGTCTAGTTTGCTTCTAAAAACCTACATTTCATATACAGTGTCATTAAAAATCAAGACAGCAAAATCATTACACAAATACCCTCCTCTATTCAGTAAAAAAATGTTTCCCTTCTAGACATCTATGAAATAGATAAATTCCTTGCAACATTGGCTTAATCACAAATTGCACCCCAAAAGATTTATCATAATTAGTACCTCAAAGTTAAAAAAATTAATTTACAACTTTAAATATATAAATCTATATCAATATGTTCTTGAAGTTAATAGTCATCTAGTTTGCCGTCTAAAAACTAAATCACGTGAGTGGGAGATGGGAGGGGCATAGGCTTAAGTGTAAAATCCAAGCATATTGATTCACATAGAACTCTCACATATTTTGGTGCCAAGCATATTGATTCAACATCCACCTTTCACTCACGTGATTCAATTTTAGACGATAAATGGGACAGCAATTAGCCTCAGGGTTATTTGGATGTTGTGCAGTTAGTGTTTTTTGACATATGGAAAGCTTTTACAATAATTTTTTTCTATTACTATCCCTTGGAAGGAAAAAAAAAACCCTGTCACCTCATACATGTATGCCATGTTTTTTAACAAAGATTTTTTACCTGCATACATCAGCCTACCGTTCCTTCTCTTTTCTTATCTTTTTTTTTTTTT